CGCGCCCGGCCCGGCCCGCCCCGCCCCGCGCCGCGCCGCCTCTGGGCTTCCTGGGACTTGTAGTCCGCGTCCGGACCCGCGCGCTGGGCGCCGCTTGAGGCAGGCGGCGGGGCGCGCGGAGGGCCTCGAGCTGGGTTGCGGGATGCCATCCCCGCTGGACCCCTTGCGGCCCTACACTGCCTGGGCCTCCTTGGCGCCCCCGAGCAGCCCCGTGCAGTCCCCGCTCCTCGGCCCCGGGTCGCAGCGCGCGATCTGCCCGCGCTTTTGTTTCCAAGAGCCTGGTCCGAGGCGCCTCTTGGACGCTCTGGTTGGTTGGTGGCCTACGCTACCTCCACCCCCGTTCCTAAACTTTCAGTCTCCTTTTTCTAAAGGCAGAACTTCCTTCGGTGAGTTCTCGAAGACCGGAGATCCTCTGAGCCCACGCGCTGGGGGAGTCCAGGCTGCAGCAGGGAACCCAAGTTTTCAGGGGTGTGAGATGCATGCATGGAGCTCAGCAAGGCTCCCCAGCCCTTGTCCACTGACCCAACCCCAATCCCATGCAAAGTATGCCCGGGGCCTCACGGGCCTTGGACCCATTGCAGCAGGGCCTGGCCGCAAGCTTGGAACAAATGCAGTTGTTGGAGGTTTGCTGGAGCGCCAACAAACTTGTGCTGTCCCACTTGGCTCTCCTCCATCCGAAAGTGTCAACTCCGCCTTCCAAACATCAGGAATCCCACAGCCCCTCACCACCTTCTTCAGGTTACAATCATCCTAAACAACTGATCTAGCAGTTATCTCCCTGCCCCTACCAATTCCCTTCATCTCAAGAAGGCAGCCTGTTAAAGCTTATAAATCCTAAATCAGGACATGCTGTGCCTCTGCTTTAAACCCCCGAACAATTCCCACCCCAGTGTGACCTCCTAAGTCCTCCAGGCCCAAGCTTCTGGCAAAGGTGGGGCAGACACTCCTCTTTCCCTATTCCTGGGCCCTACAAATAGGCCTGCCATGTCTTCTAGGGCTGAGTCAAGACATGAGACTCCTGGACCAAAAGCAAAGGCCTTATCATTCCTCACAGTAGCTGTCACCAGTGTACCAGCACTTAGAGTACCTGTTTCTGAGTTCCAGGTCCCGCCCAGTGACAAAAGGGACCAGCTGAAGAAGAGAGGGAACCTGAGTGTACAGGGCCCTTAGTTCTCGTGGGGACAGCTGTGTGTCTGCCATGGTCTCTGGAGGGACATGGTGCCAGTGTGTCAGTTTGAGGGGACACGTTCAGCCCACAACAGTACCTGTGCTCATAGAGCATCCGCTTCCAATTGCATCTTGTCCTTGGCAGCCTCAGTGGCCCCCTGAGGTTCTCCACGTGCACCCCTCAGGATTCCTCTGCTCAAACAGCTCCTTCCTGTTCTGATTGGTAAGCAGGCTGCGGGTCAAGACCTCTGCCACCTCATCCCAAGTCGCATCCCTTGTCACCCACACTTTGGGCCTTGCTTCTTGCTGAGGAACAAAAAAACAGTAGTCCCTAACAGCATCCACATCTCAGTGCCTGAGGACCACAAATGTGTCACCTGAAATGGCACATGGGGCCATGCAGCTGTGACTGCATGAAGGGCCTTGAGATGAAGAAGTGACACTGGGCGAAGGTCGGAGTCGGTGGAGATGTGCTACAAGGGAGGGGAGGGAGACGAAGGTGCTGCTGTACTGGCATCCTGAAGACAGAGGAAGGGACCACAAGCCAGGGAGTGCAGGCAGCCTCTGAAACCAGAAAAGGGAAGAAGTTGTTTTTTCCTAGAAGTTCTAGAAATAACATCCCCGTAGAGCACCATGTTGGGCTTCTGACCTCCAGAACAACATAATAAACTTAGTTTGTTTAAACCACTTAAACTTGTGCTAATTTTCTACAACAGTAATAGGAAACTAATTCACTTCCTTAATTTTGTTTTCTTAGCACCTACCCGTGTCTAACTAGCTTCTTACTTACCTTGAGGATGCCCCTACTGCCTACTAGAACTGAAGTTCCACTGGCCAGGGTCTTGGCTGTCTTTATCGCTGGCCCCTATAACAGTGCCCGATGCGTAGTAGGTGCCTGATAAGCATGTGCCAAGCTAGTGGCTTTCCCTTTAAACTCTCATTGCCACACACGCAAGGACCACAGTCTGTGTACAAACGCAAAGACTTCCCTCAGCCGCAGAGCTCCCCTCTGCGTGTCATGAAACCTAGCTGACCTGAAGCAGAAGCTGCGCGTGGTAGGTTCTCACTGGCTCTTCATACTGCCCTATGTCTTTATTTCTTTTGCATTTTTAGGTCAGTGTTTATTTTTAGAGTCCCCAAGATTATCTTCCTGATTTTTAAGCAAAGTGAGCAGTAGTATTACTTAGCTTAAGGTGGCTTTTAGAAAGATTTTCATGTTTTTAAAATTAATTTAATGGAATATATAAATTGAGCATCCCTAATCCAAAAATCCAATACCTGAAATTCTCCAAAACACAAAACTTTTTGAGCACCAATGTGAGACCACACCATGAAACTTTAATTTCATGCATAAAATTATTAAAAGTATTGGGGAAAGTTCCCTTCAGGCCATGGGTCTGAGTTTTGTATGAAAAATAAGTAAATTTTATGTTTAAACTTGGATCTCGTCCTCACAATTTCTCATTATGTGGATGCAAATATCCCCAAATCTCACAGCCCAAAAATCTGAAACAGTAAACACTTGTGGTCCACTTGGATAAAGGACCTTCAACATGTATGACTTTTATCGAGATTTTCCATCTCTCATCAAAAATGCAAACGATTCCTAGTTGAAATCCAAGTTTATCTTTCTAAAGTAGAGGTACTTGTAGGTCCTTAAGGTGCCCTTAAAAGTTCTTAGAAAGCTGTAGGGGCGGCAGGAAGCTGCAGCAGGTGAGTTAGGGCTCACAAGGGGTGGGAGCAAGCACAAACGGAATGCTAGATGTGACTTTTCGGGGAAGTGTCTCTGTCCTGCTCATCTGCTTGGGGCCAGCACTTGCCTGGTCTTTGCTTCAGGACTTGGCTGTTACCACTGCCCTTCTGTTCCTCGTTCTTGAAAACAGCTTTATCTCCTGCTCTTCAGTTCCAGCCTCTTCAGTTATCAGGACAGAATCTGCGCCATACCATGATGCTTCATAATAATAATTTCTTCCTTTCTGTTAAAGAAACCCAGGGGCAAAACAAAACATCGTACAAAAAAACAAACAAAATCTCCATCATTGTAATTTTCCTAAATGAAGCCGTGCTCCTCAGAGCTGAACTCTGATCATGAGATGACTCTTTAAATGGGTTGAGAAATCAATTTGCTGATAAATGAATTGTATAGTATTGGGCAGCACGGGACAAGCTAGAGTAAGACATTAGGGCTATGGAGTGGTGTGTCAAGGACAACAAGTTTCTGTTTTTCAAGTGAAACTTTCATTCCTGAGGGAAGACGAAGAGAAGTACTCTCAGACCACAGGCACAGAAGCCACCCTGCCTCCTGCTGAGCCTCTGTGGACCCCGCCAGTCTAGAGTCCCAGTGTCACATTAGCTTCCTGTTGGTGTCACAAGCAGTGACTTAGTACAGTACGCACTGCTGGTCCTGTACATGTGAATGACAACATCTGAAGTGGTGCCCTAAGCTGTAACCAGGCGCCCTCCTTTCTGAGGCTCTGGAGGTCACCTGCTGAGGCCTTTCCAGCACTTGTTCTTCCTGGCTCCTGGGCCCCTCTCCACCCTCAAAACATTGGAGCATCTCACTGTCTCTCCTAACCCTCCTACCTCTTTGTTCCACATAGAAGGACCTTTGTGACTATCCCCGGGCCCCTGACCCTTCCCATAATCTCCCCCTCTCAAGACAAAGTGTAATGGCAATTACAAAGCTCTTTTTCCTTATAAGGAGAACTTCCACAAGTTCTGAGCTTAAGGCCTGGGACATCTTACAGGAGCTTTCTGTGCTTACCACCATGCTGGGAATAAATGGTACCAAACACACACACACGCACACACATAGGCTTTGCTTGGCTCACTTACACATCACAGGATATTCTTTGAATATGGCCACACCGATAGGTGTTCATTGACAAGCTAATCAAAAAGCCTGTCTGTAGAAAATTCAAGTGCTGCAAATTTTCCTCATTTCCAATTAAAGCATACAATTTATTTAATGTGTTAAAATTCATTCAATAAAATGCAAAGGATTAGGAAGGAAACCAGTTATACCAAAGTGCTGTTATCAATATGTTTAGTAGATTATGGTTGAGGAATATATGCGCTTCTTTATTAACATATTAATTAACAAGATGTAGCAGCTGGTCTACCATCTACCATGATG